CTTATTCATTGCCAGCCACTTTCCAAATATCTATTCTTTTCTTATCACCTTCATTCATAGAGTCCCTTTACCAACAGGCATTTTCTTCTCTGCCTAGCCATGTCCTGCCCGTCTGTGGCAGAGAAAGCTAATTGCCTCTTAATATCCCTCAAAATTTTTAAAAATGTATCCAATAATTCCATCATTTAAAATTTAGGCATAAGTTCTTCCAAGATTTATTTCCATTAATTTAAAAAAATTTTAATTGTTGATTGAGAAGCAATTATTTCTACTTAGATAAGCAAAAAGCAGCAAATGGAAATCACCGTAATCCTACCAGCCAGTGATTTAACCTTCTGATCACATGTAGCCTTAGACACATATTAGTCTTTAACAATTCCATTCATTTTTTTTTACAAAGTTGAGATATTGTGATTGATTTGGTTTCTGTTCTACTTCATTTGGTTAGCATTGTTTCAAAAAACATTTTTCATGTCATTAAGAAGGGTTGATAAAAATAATTTTTTAAAAAATAGAAGCACAATATCCAATTGAATAAGCCATAATTTGCTTAGTTTCCCATTGTTCCATATTTAGGATTTTTTTTTCAAGTTTTCCTTATTTAAAAAAAATGTTTTGTTTATTTATTTTTAGAGAGAAGGGAAAGGAGGGAGAAAGAGAGGGAGGAAAACATTGGTGTGGTTGCCTCTCATGCAGCCCCCACTGGGGAGTTGGCCTGTAACTCAGGCATGTGCCCTGACTGGGAATTGAACTGGTGACCCTTTGGTTCGCAGGCTGGCACTGAATCCACTGAGCTATACCAGCCAGGGCAAGTTTTCCTTATTTTAAATGATGCTATAATGAATATTTTTGTGCATAAATCTTTGGCCATGTTTCTCAGTAGCCCTTTAGGATTATTACAGTAACTATATTCTTGAGTGTTACCTTGTAGCAAGCAAGCATTTATGGCACTATTACTTCACTGAATCCTCATAATAATGCTATAAGGTAGATATTTTCACTCTCATTTCACAGATGACAAAACTGAAGCTCAAAATAGGTACAGTGACATGCTCAACAGACTCAAAGCCATGATAGTGGGGCCAAAATGTAACCTGACCAGGATGATTCCAAGCTCATGCTCTCAGTCATGAACTTTTTAAGGCTCTTGATACTATTGCCAAACGACTTTCCAGAAAGGTTGTTTCGATCTACACTTCATCATCAGTATAAGAGCGTCCTCCTTCTTTCAAGCAACTGCTAGGCACTTGCATTTCACTTTCTGTGAACTGTTTCTTCATGTACCTATCAGTGAAGGTTACCATGGACTACCAATTAATCCAGCAGGCATAAGGGTGATGTGTCCCCAGTATCTGGCCATGCCCATCCCATTCTGATGTGAGAATGACCTGAACAACTGCAAACACTATATAATAATGCTTTTTATGCTGGAGACACAGAGCCCACTAGGCCTGCCTATTTGTGCAGAGTCTAGTGGAGCCTTCATCTGGGAGTTTGTGCACATGCCTGGGGCCCACCTGGAGTCCCCAGAACTCACCATCTTGTAAGAACCTTCACTGGCATCAGACCCTCTTGTCTTCTGCTATATCAGATGGTTTCCGTTATGAGTGATATCTACCATCATACCTAAGCTAATTTTCAGACTTCATGGTCTGCTACTTTTTTTTAAAGGGTCAGCCATTATTTGCAATTTCTTTTTTTTCCTTTGTTTTTAAAATTGACCCTCAAAACAATTCATGCACGCAAAAAAAGCTTTCAGAATAGGCTCTTGGAACAGGCAGTATGAAAGTAAATAGAAAAAACCCTTGGCTGATCAAGAGGAATTGCATCTTAAGTTGTAGTTCTCTCTCCTGTAATCCATGAGGAATTTTTTTGCAGAACTTCCTCTCTGAGAAGTGCCCCCCTTCACCCCTTCTTTATCTCCGGGGCTCTTGCCAGACGCCTTTCCCTCAGGCCTTACCTCAAAAAAGAGCTCCAGTTGTTTTTTTTTTCATATTTTGAAGACATTTATATTCACAGTAAGATCGCTCACTTAATCAGAATCTGCCTTTCATTTTTATTCAAATGTGACCCGAGCTTCTGTTTTCCACTGTTTTCACTGTCAAGGCTACAAGGCTAAAGGCCACTCTTCGTTTTATCCTTTTTGTAGCAAGGTGGCCTTGTGCCCATGAAGTTGCTCAATATTTGATCAGTAAATAAATAGGTGGAAAATAAGTGCATCTGGAGTAATTCAGGAAGTAGATTAGGATAGTATATAACAACAGACACTTTTTAAAAAGTACTTTAAAGTTTATAAAATGCTTCTCGTTCAGTCTCATTTGTCCCTCCGAATAACCTGCAGAGGAAACTGGTGTGGAGAGGTTAAGAGACTTGCTCTCAACACCCAGATCCTCTTCCTCAAAAACTTCTATTACGTCCATTAGAGTTGATGCTAAAATACAAATATAAGATTAAATCCAGAGTTGGCCTCCTCCCTTAAAACATCCTCACCAGCAGAGGGCATCAGAACACATATGGGTCTTAGAATAAGGTCTGCACTCGGGCCCAACCACTATCAGAGCTAGGTAACCCTGGGCAAATTATTAAATTCTTCCGAGCCTCACCTGCAAAATATTGTTGTTAATGCACTCCACCTCCAGGGTGGCCACAGGGTTAGAAACATTCTGCAGCTGGCACCCAGTAGATGAACAGGAAATCGTATCTGTCATATCCGTAGTAAGGATCACATGAGCAGTTTGAAGGCAGATATTAATGCTTCTTTGATGCTTTAATAAATATTTTAAATGAATTTGCATATTTGGCATTTAAAATAGGCAAAGAATTATATCAAATGGGCAACAAAATTAATATTTATGAAGAAATTTTAATACTCAATGCTGACAAAAGAGTAAGGAATCAGACTGAAACTTTTCTAGATGAAAAGCCTTATGAACATGATGTGCTGCTTGCCCAGAATCTATTTAACCTAAGAAAATAACATTGAATGGTAGCAAGGCTGAGAAAAGCAAAGATGTCATCACTGTTCCCTATAACAAAAAATTGGAAAACAACCTAAATGTTCAATGTACGGCACAGGTTTCATAATTATAGCCTCTCTTTCAAATTGAACATTATACAGTCATTCGTATGATGCTACAGAAGAATATTCTAAATGGAAAGATGATCACAACTCAGCAAGCAAAAAATCACAAGACATGAAGAGCCTGCTTTTGCTTTTGTTTAAAAACACACTCGGGACAGAAATCAAAATTTTAAGTTATTTTCATAGGACATGAGATTGTTAGTGATGTTCCCCCCCCAACTCCTCTTTGCTCATCTTATTCTCTAAATGTTCTGCAATTAATATTTATCACTTGCATAATAAAAAAATAGTGTTTTCCTTTACATGTGTTGAGTTGTCTTTCACTGAACACTACGTGCCGGCACAGTCAGCCCAGTGGTCACAAAAAAGAAATTAATTGTAAAAAGCAGCTTGGAAGTTTCTATGTAGTTAGTTCAACAAAGTAATTAAACTTCTAATGAAATTTCACAGAGCCAGTCACCAACCATTGACTTAGCTGCTGTAAGGCTTCTACCATAAACAGACAGCAGGCTTCACTTTTTCAAAAGGCCTAAGAGTGGCATAAAGTGAAATATCAACAATTGTTCGTGTAAAGGGCCAGGTGCCATGTTTGTCCTGAGCGAATGTAACCTGAAACTCCCCCATATCTCACCATCCAGGTTGGCTGCACGTCTGAACAGGGTGTATTTGCTCTCCATTACTCAATGTACTCTCCTGAACTTGAAATGGAGTGGAATTTCAATGTAGAGTTACCCATTAGTCCCAGGGCTAAATTTAAACCTTTAATTAAATTAATCCATTGATCTCAAACACATTGCTTCTCCCTCAGAAAAGTGTTGAGAGGTTTCTTAGATGTCGCAGAGCTTAACTCAGTGTGCCGGGTCCTCATTGCATTTGAGAAATCACCCAAACAGCATTGGGAAACCAGCACAAGTTTTCAGCTAGCTCCAGCCCCCTTCCCACTCACTGCTAGAGACAGCCAGGGCGGGCACTGCTTTGGGGTGGGGCTGGGGTACTGCGTTCAGCGATTCTTCCCAGATCCAGAGCTGCAGCTCTGGGCAGGAATCCACATTTTCAAAAGACATGCTAAGTGCCAAACGGATGTTCTCAAATGAATGGCAGAAAGTACATGTTGGCCCCAGTATATATAAGAGGAAAAAAGATCACAATCCACAAAAATCTGCTATGTAACAAGGGGAGAGGGGTACGAGGCCATCTTAGTCTACGCGTGTCTTCATAGAAAACGAAGCACGTTTCAGGGCCGAAGTAAAAATCCATGTTGGCCTTTGCTAAGAGATATAAAGTGGCAGCCCCATCAAATTGGCACGTGTACGTTATTCTGGCCCGTCGAAAGACGTTCACGCGCCTAGGTTCCGGCCGCGTCTGTATCACTGGGGCTGCATCCTCGGCCTGAGAATGAATGAGACACAGCCTCAGCGGTTAGCGACAGTTTTAAGATGGGACAGTCCGCGTAAGGGGCTGGTGACCTACCCGTGTAACTATTAATAAGGACTTCTCGGGGCCCAACAGCAGCGCGGGGGCCAGTTAACGAGCTCGAGGGCCAAGTCTAGGTGTTGCTCCAAACACTGACCTGCAGACCCACAATTCTCCCTGGACCGTGTCCTCGCGCCTTGACCCAAGGGGCTCTGCTCGGACCCCCAACTCCCAGCCTGACAGAGCCGAGGAAAACGTGCTCGCTTCCCGCGTCTGGCTGCGGCGAGCCACGGGACCCAGCAGCTCTCCCCAGGGAGCTCAAACGACCAGGACAGCCTGGTGGATCCCCTTGACCGCTCGACTTTCTCTTGCTCCTCTTCCTCTTCCTCCGGCCCTTTGCCTCCCGCAGCCAGTCTCTGCGGCCGCCGCCTGCGGCTTTGTTTTCCTCCCAGCTTTCATTCTCCACACGTGATACTGTGTTATTGCAAAGAGCGCCCCGGAGCGCGAGCGCGGGGCGCGCGCACCTATAAATACGGACACCCAGGCCAGCCGCGGGAGAACGCGGGGGTAGGGATCGCCCGCGACCGAGCGCCTGGGCGGCCAGCGGGCCGACAGCGAGCGAGCCGCACGCGTGGGCTGGGGCGGCGGCGTCCTCCGCCCGATTAGTGAGGAGCCAGCATGGCCCGCCCGCTGGGGGGCCGGTCCGCCGCGCACGCCGCCCGCGCCCCGTGCCCTGCCCAGCCCGGGTCGCCGGCGCTCGCGCCCGCGGCTTAGCACACGGGCGCCGCTCGCTTGTCCCGGCGTCGCGGAAATATCGCCGCAGACGGACACAATGGCGGCGGCTGCCGCCACCCCCAGCACGGCCGCCTGCAGCAGCAGCAGCAGCAGCAGTGGCGGCGGCACCGACGCCGCGGGCACCAGCGGATTGCAGCAGCCGCCGCCGCAGCCCCAGCCCGCCGCCGCCGCGCCGGCCCAGCCGCCGCCGCCGCCGGAGCCCCCCAGGAAGCCGCGCATGGACCCGCGCCGCCGCCAGGCTGCTCTCTCCTTCCTCACCAACATCTCGCTGGACGGACGGCCGCCGCTGCAGGACGAGGAGTGGGGCAGCAGCGAGGACAGCGGCGCGGCCAAGTCAGGCGCGAGCAGCGCCTGCGGCGCGAGGACTCGGCTCAGCCAGCTCGCCGCAGCGGAGCGGGGAGGCTGCAGCGCGCTCACGGCGGCACTGGCCGCGGGGTCGGGTTCCTGCATCCCTCAGCCCTCACCGCTGCCGACCCTGGTCCCCGGTGGCCTCGGGGCGGCCCGGGTGCTCGCGAGCCCCCTGGGCGCGGGCCGGGCGTCGGGGGAGCAGCTGCAGTCGCTCCGGCAGGCGCCTTTCGCCGCCTGCGCTCAGCCGCAGCTGCCCGACGGGCAAGAAGAGTTGGAGGAGGACGATGCCTTTACCAGCGAGCAGGTGCCGGCGGCTGCTTTCCCGGGCTCCGGCACCCCCGGGAGTGGAAGCGGCAGCCGGGGCCGCCTCAACTCGTTCACTCAGGGAATCCTGCCCATTGCCTTCTCCAGGCAGACCTCTCAGAACTACTGCTCCCTGGAGCACCCGGGCCAGGGGGGCAGCACCAGCGCCTTGGAGCAGCTGCAGAGGTCCCGGTGAGTCTGTGGGACCCGCCGCGCGCCTAGCCCCACGTCCCTCGCTGCCGGCTCTTTGAGGCGGGACACTGGTCGCTCCCACCTTCCCGAGCCCTTCCGGATCCCTGAGCTTCTGGCCCGAATTCCAAACCACTAGGGCGCGCGAAAGTGGGAGAGTCCCCAGGGAGCGTGTGTTCACACGTGTGTGCACAAGACCAGCACTTGCAAAGCAGAAGCACCACGGTCTTGCGGTGACTGGGTCCCGAGTTAGGAGTTGCGGGAGCCCATTAAAAAGTGGCGCCAAACCCGTTGCCAGGAGGAGATCTCGAACTTGGGGAAACAGTCCGGGTCCAGACAGGAAGACGCGTTCTCCCCCACTCTGGGCGAGACTTGGGGCGCAGAGTCGAGCAGTGGGTCCGACCCGCAGCTTAGAGGCCTTTGTAAGCCCGAACTTGTCGCAGGCACGCGGTGAATCCCTCCTGAGAAATTCCTGCCTGCGCCCAGGTATTCCTGTATCTCAGGAAAACTTGGCGTTTTTCTTTTACTTTCCTCAAATATTGTAAAGTCTTTCTTACATTCCCTTAATCCAGGGGGTGGGGAACAGGGAGAGAATAGAGTTTGGAAATTCTTTTTTTCCATTCCAAGATGAATTTGCTAGAGTTAGTTAAAAGCGTGTTGTGCTTGCTAGTTTATCTGCAGGTATTAAATAGCACTAGCAAAAACATGAAATGTTGGCATTTGCGTATTGCTCAGGAAATAGCTGGAACTTGTCACCATATATTCAAGGGACAGCCGAGAGTTAGTCCTGTGTCAGACAGTGGGACTGAAATTGGAAGAGGACCAGAGTGGGAGGGTGAGGGATGGCTGGCCTGTTCCCTGGGAGAGGGTATTCATCCGCCCCGAGGACTTAATAAGGCCTACTATGCAGTTAGTTACAGCCTTGATTCCACCTTTGCTCAGTTAGTTTAACCTGAGGCCTCAGTTTCCTCTATTGGGATGGGACCTTCCTAATATTTTGCAGGCCTCAGGATGAGAAGGGAGAACATTTTCTGTTCTGCCTTCTGTCTTGTAGTGCTCATCTGAAAACTCAGGCACGCTCTGGCCTAAGTCAGAAGGTGGCCTATTGGAAAACTTGACTTCCTCCCCCAAGGGACAAATGGGGAAGAACAAGCTGGACTCATCCAGAAGTTTGCTGAGTCTCTTTCTTCCCAAGTGGGTGAAATCATGACCCTGCTCAGCACGTAGCATGGCAGTGTGAGTGCACACGGCTGCAGGCAGGGGCGAGGGGCAGGCCAGCAGCCTGGTAACTGTACTGATGAATTATCAAGACTGGGCACAGGTGACTGTCTGTTCTTGGCATTTCTCCTCAGGGCACACATCTCCCCATTAGCGGGCGAGTGAATGGGAGGGAAATCCCTTGCGTTCTGGGTGAGTGGTGCGCACTCAGCAGTTTCTGGGCAGCTCGATATTACCACCTGACATCACTCACTGGCTCACAGCATGTATAGTTTGAGCATAAGCCCAGCGAGTCCATAGGGTCATGACAGGAATTGTAATAAACATACATGTTATTTTAAGCCAGTGTGCAGGGCCAGTCTGTGCCTCCTGGTAGACAGATGTGTTCTTGTGGGAAGAGCAGGGGATATCAGATTACCTCACAATTTGTTTCCAAGGATCTCATTTGAGGGGTTATGGAGGATCTTGCATGCTAGTACTTCCGATCCAAAGCTAGAATTGAATCTCTGATCCTTTCATTATGAAGCCCACGTGTGTTCAATCTTTCCTGCAGCACACACACTGAGATGGGTCAGTCAGTGCGCGGCACCGTATTTGACCATGTATAATGTGTTCCCGTGTATAATGTGTGCCCACATGTTAGGCCCAAACTTTCAGGAAAAAGGGCTTTCGTTTTACTTTTTTAATCCAATTGTTTGTTTATTTATGTTTAGATACTTGATTTTTGTATTATAAAGGAATTTGAGCATTTATTTTTAACATATTATGGTGCAAGAAATTTTATGTAACCAATAATTACAAAACACAAGAACAGATACAAGGTATTTCAGGTACTACCCATGTATAATGTGCATCCTTATTTTTCCCTCAAAAATTTGGGCAACAGTTGGGCGCATTACACATGGCAAAATACAGTATTTCCTTACCTGACAGTCACATTCATTTTATTAGTTTGTAATTTTCTATAACTGACAAGTTGATAGGCATTTAAAAAAATTACAGCTGTTCAGAGAACAGCTTCAAATTTAATGTACAGAGAGGAGGTAAATGGGTAAAACTTGATTTAAGAAAGGCCTTGAAGAGCTAGCTCAGCCACCAAGGGTTGGAGTGGAAATATCCTAGGGTGCTTTGTTCCCTACGCTGTACCACTTTCAAGAATTTTGTGAGAAGCAAGTTGCTTTTATGATTACTAAAGAGTTCTTTAACCTGCCTGGACAAAGTGGTGTAGATTACAAACTCATTCAAGGAGGCCCAGGGCCAGCTTAAAGAATGCCACTTGCTTTCCTGGTGTGCCTCACTTTAAGAAACCTTGCTAGACTGGCTAGTCCCACATACTCCTTCATGGATGCTCTCCTGGCATGTTGTTTTTAAAATCAAATTATGCTTTCCTTGGATTTGTTTCTTGCTATTTAAGCCTTGCTGCTCAGAAGTGCGGGCTCTCTGACCTTCCTGGGAGCTCTCAGCAATGGAAATTCTCATACTCCACTCTAGATTTCTCGAGTCCAAATCTGCATTTTAACAAGATCCCTAGATGACTCATGTACAATTGGAAGTTTGGAAAGCATTTCCATAGTGTATCTGAAACCTGCCTCTTTTTTTTTTAAATAAACTTGAGATTTTGTAAATTGGGTTTGTTATGGATATATAGAAATCAGAATTACCCTATCTGAAATACTGAAACCCTTTCTTTTTTTGTTATGTTGTCAATCTGGACACTTGTGAAACCAATCACAATTTTTGCTTAGACTTTCAAACTTTGAAATGTGACACAGAGGGAAATTTCTGTGCTCAGGCCTGGCACAGGTGTGTCGATGGAATGGTGATGACACAACCTCTGTGCTCTGGGCTGGATGCTTGACATTTATCACATTTAATCCTCACCGCCAGGTAGGTTCTTTCACAGACCCAGTTTAGCCTCTTTGTTTGGGCCCTCTTCCCGCCCAGCTTCGCTGCTACTTGCCATTCTCTGTTGTACTTTCTGGGGAACCCAGGACCGTGGGCCTCATGGCTGTCTCTGGCCTTGAGAAGCCAGCATGCTGGGTTGGCTCTTAGGCTAAGTGTCAGAGGTGGGAGGTCAAAAAGATGCCTTCTAGCTTCACACCCTGTTGTGTTTCTCTGCGTGGGCTGTGAGCTCCACATGAGAAAGGTGTTAATGGGTGAGAGGGCATGTACATTTATAAGGTGTGTTTCAAGTTTTCCTAGAGCTTCTGAATGACAGACAGCCACCCAGAAGCCCATAGAGTCTAAGTCCCACTGATGGGAGGGGCTCCTGGTGACCAGCGTATTATATTTAAAATGATGGGAGGGTTTTGCGTCTTAGAACACCTGAGTTACCATTGTGCTCTCCTGAGAGTTAGGCCTTGAAAGGGCAGAGGTCATGTGGTACAAAAGAGCCCCAAATCTTGGGTTTCATTTCTGATGCCACTGTGTGACCCGGAGCAAGTTAATCAGTTTTTCTGGGTCTGTTTCCTCGTGAGAGACTCGGCCTGTGCCTTGGGCTCTTTCAAGTGCTAATGGCACTTACCATTTATTATTGAGGGCTGACTGTGTGTGTGTGGGGTGGGGTGGGGTAAAAATAAATGCTTTATACAAATCTGGGCTTCTCAAATGTAAATGTGTTTAGAATAACAAGGGGATCTCCATGAAAGACAGATTCTGTTTCTGCAGGTTTGGGAGGGACCTTGATTCTGTATTTCTAACTAGTTCCCTGAGCTGCAAACGAGCTGCCCTTTGAGAAGGCAGGCTTTGCGTGTACTTTCTTCCACTTGTAAGGCCAAGAAAACCAGGGCTCAGAGATGTGAAGTTACCCGCTCCAGGTCACTCAGCACTGAGACACAGTCCAGGCTTGCTTCACACCCCACTGCTTTACAGACTTGGAGCTTCTACCTGCCCCCGCTTTGCATCGCCCCACTTGGGGGTGAAACCTGGGCTAGTGCCGTGACTGTAGTCTCGGTCTTTACTGAAAAGAAAAATGTGAGCTCACTAGGGGATCAACAACCAGAGTAAGAGGGGGAATTGGACAATTTTTCCTGACTTTGTCACCACTTTGCTTAGTGACTTGAGGCAAGTCACCACTCTGTGCGCTCCAGCTGTGAGCCACCTGACCCATCTGGATTTCAGAAGCCTATAAAAGACTTTGAACTCCTCAGCAGTAAGCAAACCCAAGTTATTGTTCAGACATTTTTTTCCAGCAACATGAATTATGGAAACCAAAGCTGCTGCCACCCGAGGCCAGCCAGGCTCTGCCAGGACACTCACCCCCGCCCCGATCAGGGGGGGCCGTGCCCTGCCAGGGCTGGGGCGAGTGGCCCGAGATTCACCCGCTGCCCTCTTCCTGGCAGTCACAAAGCCTGTAATGGTGTGGGTGAGCTCAGAAGGGGAAATAAATCGGAAGCCTACTTACTGCTGGCAAGTGCCCAGAAAGGGCAGCAAGTTCAAGTGTGACCTTCTGCCCTCCAGGAAGGGCAGGGAAAGCTGCAGCATGGTTCTGTACTATCCCCAAAGCTGTCTTAGGAAGCTCTGTCTGCCTGGACTGTTTTCCGTTGGAAGGAGAGTTGTGAGGCAGGGATAGGGCCAAGTGCAGGTAGCCTTTAGAACACACTGGGAAGGAAAGGTAGGTGAGTCCAGGTGAGGTGGCGTGTTGGGGATCAGGAATGCCGGACCAGGACCTGGCAACCCTAGACTCTGGGCCTGAGCCTCCTGTGGCTGGTAAGCCTGGACAGTCCTGCCTCATGCCCTGCCCATTCCCAGTTTCCTTGCAGAACTGAAGGGCCAGCCAGGACAGA